GGAGATTCCTGATGAAAGAAAGTATCCTGCACCACAAATGTGCTCCGCCTTCTGGGTCTTCAATTCCTTCCTCAGTTGGGGGCACTAAGGAGTCACGCAATAATGTGTTATCCCGATGGTTTGCATCCCACTGATCTCTGTTCTATTGATATCACTAAAAGGTGGGAAAATTCTGACTGTGGGCCTTGCTCCTTGGAGGAAGTAATTAAGCAGAAGACTCTGGAATGGGGTTAGGGAAGCCTTAAACATGTGATTCAACATGCTTGCTCTTCTGATAATAAGGGGGAGATGCTCACACTGTGAACATGAAGGAGTTTGGAACTAACAAACGTAAATCACCCAAAGCCATGGATAAAATGGGGAAGTGTACTGCAATTAGGCAATTTTATGTACATATTCTATGTCAAAATTACCAACCCATTAAATCTTTACTGGCCCCTCTTAAGACTTATAAAGTAAAATGATGCATTTTATAGTTATATCACCATCAGCTAAAGAGGTAGTTGAAAACTAGTACTGGAGTGTACTGTAGTTCCAACTGTTCCTTAAAAAACAAAACACACAAGTGAACATAACTTGCCTATAGACTAATTCAGTTCAGACACAATTTAATTTCCTTCACGTTTGGGGCTTATAATCCCTGGCTAATTTGCCGGGTGCAGTTATCTGTTATTTTGGCAGCTGTGGCTCAAAAAGAATTCTTTAAACAATTGAAATACATCTTAATTCTCATGTTTACACAAGTCTGTCAGGTGCAAATAATAACACGGAACGTAGATCCACTTGTGGGAACCACACTGCAGCTTGGAGATTTAATCACAAAACCTGGGTTGTGCCCATTACGGCCATCTGTTGGAGATTTAAGGAAAGCTGTCAGAGGTCTGGCCTGGGAGTTAGTTACTGAAGTTGCTTTCACCAGGAACAGTATCAGAGGTTTGAATCGGGGCCTCAAATACAGTATGTTGTATTTAACATATACAGTATGTTGAATGGGATCACTTCTAGCTGGGGCACAAGCCTCCCACCTACCACAAGCAGCCCTGTTGCCTTTTCCCTGTTTAATGTATTTACAACCTCAGTCTGGCTCTAGGAGGTACTAAGTTGGTGATCCTAATATGTCATAGGTGTCATCTTTGTTCTTTAAGAGGTATTTATAATCAGAGGAAGCCACTCCACTGGTCAGAATCCCACAAGTAGGAACGGTCTCTATTACCCGGGTATTGTGTTAACACTTTCACCTGCATGCCCCCCATTTAATCTCTCCGAGAACTCCATGGCATAGCTATTATCACCCAGCCCCATTATGGTATGAGCCAGCTGTGATTTAGAAACACTCAGGAATGATGGATAAGCTCAGGGTTTGCACGTGCACTCCCTCCATATCAACACATTTAATCATGTGACCCAGAGTGCAAGGCAGGAAGTGTCAAGTTCCCACATCCTGGACCCATGTTTCCCTGCTACTTCATGCAACAGTCCACCATGTCAAAGGCCAGTAGCATCCCCTCTAACCATTACTGCTGGCCTGGACTTCATGATTCAGTGGCCCACGGGACCTTTTAGAAATGTCCTGTGCTCCTTTGCCTCTTCTTTTATTTGGCCCTTTTGGTAAGATGCCTTCCTACCATCTTGGGCGACCATCTTTCATCTTCTCTTTGGCTTGTGCCTTCAGCTTCACCTTCTCTGTTGGACTTGCCTCCTCTGAGGTGAACAAAAGACTCTTCCTTACCCTGGAGCCCATAATTTTCACTTTTGTGTTTTGCTTCTTTGCAACCTTCACAAACAAGCTTCTGGAAAAAATACCCTATCTTGGTTGCCTCTACTCCTGACCACCGTCAGCATCCTATAACATGACTTCTGAACGTACTACTACATGGAAACCACAATCCAAAATCACTAATACCTTCTAGTTGTGACGTGAAACAGACATTTCCCAGTAGATACACACTCTCCACTGCTGACACACCTTCCAGAATGTTCTCTTTCCTTGATTTCCATGACAGAACAGTCCCTTCTGACTCACACCTCAGCTCCTGTCCAGTGACCCCTCTCCAACCGTCAGTGATAGTATTTCAGCCTCTGAACTTGTCAGTGATTTATTCTCTTCCTAGAAAAATTTTAATGACTCCCACATCCATATTTTCAGTTCATGGCTTTCTTCTATACTTTATCCAACTACCTGTTGCTCACAGGCACCTGAAATTTATCATGTCCCCAACTTTTCATTTCTCCTTCTTCCCTAATCTAATCTATTTTATCTGTCCAGAGGACATTGGTGCCATGCATCTGATTGCCCAATCCTGAGTCATCTTTTCCTCACCTAGTGATAATGTAACAAATACCTGGTGCTCTCCTCTTATCCGTGTCACTGGTGCCCCTGTTCATACCTCATTATAGCTTCTATTTCTTACGACGCTATCATTTACCTATAGCATATCAGCTTCTGTGTATAGACAAGGTAGTTCAATGAGTTTGGACAGGAGTGCATAGTCATGGAACCACAACCACAGCTGAAATATGAAAGTTTGATCACGTTCCTCCAGCAAAAGCAACAACAACAACAAAAACTCTCCAGTACTCATTTGTAATCAATCCTTGCCCTTTCTATAGCCCCCAGAAACCAGTGATCTATCTTGCATCCTGCCTCCATCCCCTGTGGCCTTTTTTGTTGTTATCGTTCTTACTGGGAATCAAACTCAGGACCTTGCACTTGCCAGGCAAGCACTGCACCACTGAGTTATATCCCCAGTCCCCTTTTCTTTGCTAGAATGTCAGGTAAGTGGAGTTATAAAGTAAGTGACCTCTGAGTCCAGCATCATTCATGCTGCATAATAAATGGGAGATCTAACTACTTTGTAGCAGGCGCCTGCAGCTCCTTCCCTTTTGTTGCATGGAGGTACCAGTTTATCTATTCACCAGCTGAAGAGCATTTACTTTGTTTCCAGTTTTGGGCAATTGTAGCTAAACATTCATGTTTAGGTTTCTGGGAGAACATAAGTTTTCAATTCACTTGGGTGAATATCTAGGCATGGGACTGCTGTGTCATATGGTAGATATATACATAGCTTTATGAGGAACTAGGAAACTGCTGTTCGATGTAGCTGGCCCATCTTGATGTCTTACTTGCGGTGTTTGAGAGCTCCAGATGCTCTGTGCCAGCACTGGGGATTGTCAGTTTTATTTTCTTCTTTTAGGTCCTTGTAAGAGGTGTGGAGTGGTATCTCAGGCTTTAATTTGCATCTCCTTCATGATTAATGATATTAAAGATCTTCATGTACTCACTTGCAAGTCATACATCCCTTTTGGTGAAATGTTTGTTTAGATATTTTCCCCTATTTTAAAAACTGGATCATTTTGCTATTATCAGATCTGAAACTTGTAGTATATGTACTATCAAAGCGAGCATGGGGTTTAGCACTTTTAAATTATGCCTGGGATCCAAGTCTTTTATTAGGTATGTGTTTTGCAAACGAAAATTTCTCTTGTGTGTCTTTCAAAAACTAAGATAATTGTAGATGCACATGCAGTTGTAAAAGATAATAGAAACTTGCCTACCCCTAAGTTTCCTACAAAAGACATCTTACATAATTATAGTATAATATCACGATCAGGGAATTTCACTGATAAAATCATCAAAATTACTCGGTCTTAATTGAGTTGCTTGCTTATATGTACTCATTTGTGTGTGTGTGTGTTTCATTCCATGTAATGCTATTATCTGTGTCATTTCTGTGACCACCCTTGCAGTCAGATACAGAACAGTCCATCCTAAGGATTTCTTTACAGCTGTAATCACCTCTGTTCTTCCCTGACAACCACTAATCTCTCCATCTCTGTAATTTTGTCCTTCCAAGAGTCTTATATAAACTGGATCATACAGCATTGAAGTTTGGGATTTGGCTTCTTTTCCATAACATTATTTCCCTGGCAGTTCATCGAATTGTTATGTGTAGCAATCGTTCTTTCTTCTTCATGATGAATGGAATGCCACAATTTGCTTAACCATCGAAGGACACCAAACTTGTTTCCAGTTTATGACTATTACAAATTAATTTGCTACAAATACTCAGGTACAGGATTGTGTGTGTGTGGCTTTTTTTTTTTTTTCTAATTTCTCTGGGATAAACCCCGTAGTGCAATTGTGCTTTTAGGTTTATAAGCAATTGTCACAACTGTTTTCCAGAGCGCCTGTACTATTATGTAGTATGCATTTGACATTGTGCAGCCTCACTGAAGGGAGATTCGAGTTCTCTGAATCTTTGGCAGCGTGGTGGCACCTCTATTTTATTATTTTAATTTCAACCATTCTGATGGGTGTCCAGTGATACGTCCTTGTGGTTCTAACATATATGTCCCTGGTGGATAATGAGGTTAAGCACCTTTTCAGGTGCTGTGTCTGAGGGGCTCTTCCGGACAGGACTACGCCAAGGGAAGCGGTCCCCTTCCTCCAGTCGTCTTCATTCTCCAAGCAGAGCCCGCTCCACCCCGACCGCAGCATACATAGCCCTCATCCCTCAGTTGTAATTTTCTGTTCAAAGTCGGCCTGCTTTCTCAGATCCTGTCCTCCTAGTGGACCAGGGCGGTTGTACTCAGCCCAGGAATGTCAGCCAGGATACAGCGTGTTACAGGCACGTACCATTTTTCCAAAAGAGGAGTGATTAAAGGGCAGAATGATTTCAGTACAAAGGTGAAGGCACAGAAAACGGGTTAGGGAATCTCGGGGAAAGGATCCTACACCGCTCCTCAGCCCTGAGACTGCCGCCTCAGAGTTCTGGCCACACGCATGCGCAGAGCGCTCTGCCGGTCTCCAGCCACGCCCCTCAGCGGCTCTCTTTGGCCCGCCCCTCCTCTTCCGTGACCAATTAGGGCCAGGAGCCGGGATCCTGGCTGCCGCGGGGCTCTGTGGGTAGTAACCCTAGTTACTGTTGCTAAGGCTACGGGTCGCGGAAGGCGGTGGGGGTGAAGAGTTTAGGAAGCGAGCCCTCAGCGCGAGGTCAAGGGTCAGTCAGAGAGGGGGCGGAGATGGTGAAGCAGACCATCCAGATATTCGCGAGGGTAAAGCCCCCCGCCCGGAAACACCAGAAAGGGGTACGCGCTGAGCAACGGGGTGCTGGCGAGGTTGGGTCTCCGGGCGAGGGCGGGTGAGTGGGTGCGAGGGGCGGCGGCGGGGGTGCGAAGCCGGGACTTCCGGGAATCCCTCATACGCTGCTCTAGGTGCGGTAGCACCGGGTCAAGGAAACCACCTACAGACTCGCGCCAGGCGGGTCCTGCCGCGCACAGCCCCACACGAAGACACGTGTGCACAGAGGACCCTCTCCTGTGTGTGTATGTTTGCACACTGCGCCTTTCTGGGAATCTGCCGCGAACACGTGCCCCGCCCCCACGTGTTTCACACTTGGCTGAAAGGGGAGCAAGCAGGAGATGCGTGCTTATCAACTGATGCAAACGTGCGCAGGCAGCTGCACAAAGCTTCCTCGCAGGCAGTGCTTTGCGTGCATTCGGCCCGCAGGAATTTGTTTGTAGGTAGATATTTATGCGTCCTGACACAAATATAAACTTCACTCTAAAAACATTAATGAGTATTTGCCAGGTACTTCCTCTACTGTGCTAAATTCAGGAGATGACAGAAAATATTAAGACGGTCTCCCTGCTCTTAGCAGATACTCCTGTGCTGCTTAATGTTTTAGAACTTTGTCCTCTGTCTCGAAGGGAACGCATTCTTGCTATGTCTTGAAAAATTGCCACTAGGCAGATGTTTTGTCACAAGAACCCTGCAAGTTGGGCACCCTTTTACTCATTTTACAGACGAGGAAAACTGAGCCACAGGTTAAACCATGTAGCCAGGCCACCTCGTGGGTGAGTAGCAAAACTGTGATTTTAATTGAGATTTTTAAAATTATTATTGTAAAGTCATTCCTTTTCATGCAAAAAACAAATTTTTTTTCTTCTTCCAAGTGTAAGTTTAGGCCAGGACACTTTGGGTCAGATTTGTGAGTACTTTGAATAGCCATATTAATATGTTTGGTCTCTATCCCATATCTATATTGTATATATGTGTATTGAAACATTGTAGTATCTCATATATTTAGCGTTTGCCTCTTGCCATTTGTGTATTTAAAAGGAAAATACAATGTCTTTATCAGTAACATAAGGCTTTTTTTTTCATTATGCATATTTAGGAGATTCCAAGGGAAACATTGGCTTTTATGAAAGCAGAAAAGCAGTATAAAAAGAACTATGGGTGTCTTCTCATTTTATCTCCTGTTGCAATCACCTACAAGATTTTTAAAGTGTAGTAAAAAGTATAGCACATGCACTGTTTAATTCCCAGATTCTAGCTTAAAATGTTGAGTGTACACAGATTCTGGCTGTCCGAAGCGGGTGCTCAGCTATGGGAAAGTGAGCGCCTTGGATTTCATATTGAACTTTCTTTACTTAAAAGGCAGTGTTTATTTTAATACACCTCTTTCTCATTTTTACCAGGAGTCGAACCCAGGCCCTTGAGCTTACTGGGCGGGTGCTGTAGCTGAACTACATCCCAGACCCTGTTATGCCCCTTTTCTTAAACATTTCTTTAGTCATCTGCCAAATGGATTATTTGATCCCTGACCCCCAAATATTTTTAGGTGTTGTCCTGTATTTTATGATGTCAGATTCTGAGATGTAACATGATGCCACATACGCCAAAAGAAAAAAGCAGGAATAAAATAAATAAATACCAAGTGAGCCCTTCCCTGCCCTCGCTGAGAAACCCCACAGGTCAGCAGCATGTCTTCTTGTCCCCCTGAAAAGACTGTATGCTTGTTTCTCTAAATGAGGCTTGCAGGATTAACCAGCGACTCAGAGGGCTTTATATTAATCTTATTTCTTAGGGCATTAGAAATGAAATAATAATTTCTGAATTACTAACAATAATGCATAGTGTGACCCTGCCTGCTAGTTTTACAAGGACAGTGCTCTTCCTGTGCAGAGCTTTGTACATCTCAAGACATTTCATATTCATCCTTGCATTTGTTCTGTCTTCTAAAAAATAGCTTTCCTATCTCAGATAATAGGTATTTTTATGACTATAGGTAGAAAGCTAATATATTAAAGTTTTGTGGCCCTAAGGGATTTAGCTCATGCCTCAGAATAGCTTCAACAGAGTGGGGTGGAGGGCATTGTTCCCTCCCCACCCAATTCTTTTCTGTCTGCAGAGCCCAGGGAGACACGCTTTGTAAATGTACGCACTCCTCACGCGCGTGTTTCATGTGTTACATACTCCTTTCATTCACCTGTCTAAGCTGTTAAACTTTTTTTTTAATGTAGTGCACTACAGGATATAGGATATAAAATCTCTCTTGAGAAAACCTACTCAGAATGCCCTGAACCTGATGTCATCATTTTCTACCAATGCTTTTATTCTTCAAAATGACTTTTCAACCTGAAGTTTTCACATTTTAAATGTGAGATTTCAATAAAAATCTGCTTAGGAAATTATTCATACTTTCTGAAGGATTTTATTTGCTTAGGAATATGAATTTTTTCCCTACAGTCAAGCTTCTAAATGGGTCTTAAACAGGAAGTATTTTCTGTTAGGAAGGATTTTATTTCTTGGTGAAAGACAAAAAAAGTCTTTTAAAAAATAAAACAACAAACCTCCGAAAGCTAATGACTAACTTTTTATGATGCCTTACCAAATACTTCCATTTCCATTACATCATTAGATTCCCTAGCAGTCTTGTAAGGAAGGCAATTCTGTTTTCCTCATTTTATATATAAGGAGCCTTGATTCAGAAAGTGATGGCTGGTAATCTGAGCTCAGAATTGGACCCCAAACCTTAAGATTTGTTCCTGGCCAGTAAATAAAGGAGTAGATAACCGAGAAGAGAATTGGAGTATGTCACAGTTGTAAGGGCGTGATGGAAACCCTCCATTTCCCTGTCAGCTTAGAGAGGCTAAGTGATTTCTCCCAAGTCACTTGCCAGTTAATAGCAACCTTGAAAATGACATCAAAGACAGAAACAACACGCGTCTTTTGAAATGGCGTGTCTTTTCAAATGCCTGAATATATCTCGTGGAAACTGGGGCCTTGTGGGACATAACTGAAATATGAGCGTTCTATGAATTCCTCAGGAAGGCTCGGGACCTCATCCTTGTGTCTTGGTGCATAGTAGTTTGGAAGGATTCAGAAGTACTTCCTGGTACTGAAATACTGATTACTTGATATACAACGTGAAAGCAGTATTTAGATAGTAGGTTGTTTTTGGGACTATTAATTTTCAGGCAGGACCTCAGAAACATCCGTATGCTCACATCTGACAATAAATTGACCTTCAGTCAAGGTGTCAAGTACCAACAAACCAATACCACTGAATGGGTGCAGTGCCAAATTTGACAAGTTTCAAAGTGGCCTGCTACCAAGGTATGCCTACAGTTTTTATACCATAATGGTGCAAGTCATGATAACGTGGCCATCATTTAACTGTAATTTCACCATCTTACATTCGTTTATTGTCCCCCTCATATTTGCAGATTTATTCCATAGATGAAGATGAAAAATTAACACCTAGCTTGGAAATTCTCTTACCACGAGACTTGGCAGATGGATTTGTGAATAATAAGCGAGAAAGCTACCGATTTAAGTAAGTCTATCGTTCTCCTCCTGCACTTCCGTTTCACGAGTCAGGTAACTCTTGCTCTGCATTCTTCTCTGCCGTGAAGTCCTGAGCCCAGTTTCTGGTGGAGAACGTAGCCCTGCTCTCTCTTTTGGTCAACAAACTTGAGTTCTTTTCCATGCCCGAAACTGAAAAGAGTGTGTGTGTCAGTGTCTGAGGCTGTGTTCTAGGACCAAAACCTTCCTTAGCTACCTGTGTTTATATAGTGTTACCCTCTTCTCACTCAGCCCGTTATGGTTTAGTTTTATAGGAGGTTCCAATGTGTGATGAAACTTTATTAAAGCTATTAAGGTACAGTCTGCTTCCTGTTCCGATGAGCTTTGTACTGTAAACGGCACGCAGATGTTAGAAGCACTTAGGCACCCTTGAAGCCCGTGCAGTCCAGTGTGACAGCTGTCAGCTCCAGGCAGCTCTGGAGCACTTCAGATGCACCTAGCCTGAAACGAGAGGTGCTGTAGAATATAAAACATAGGAGGGCTTGCTGAAGACCCATGAAATAGAGAATGTGCAATAGCTCCAATTTTTATATTAGGAATTGTAATAAAATTTTGGCTCTATTGAATTCAAAGAGATTATAATTAATTTCACTTCTTTTTTTTTACTTTTTAAAAACACGATAACTAGAACATTTTATTTGCCACGCTTTTTCACATTTGCAGATGTGTTTCATTTCTCTGGGGCTGGCTAATCAGGCTTTGAGGACAGACCCCAGGAGCCACTGTGGGTCGTCATCAGTGCCTCCGGCCTGAACACTGTCCTGGTAGCCAGGCCTTGAATGCTTGGGGGTTATGGCTTTCACACAGCCTTGATTCTCTGCCTAGACCGCCAAGCTATCTCCCCAGCCCAGTTCTGCAGTTTTAGATGAAACTATTTCCTTTAACCCCCAGTCATGATTTCTGATAAAGTTTGAGCTAAAGTTCAATGTGTATGTGATGTCTGGCCCAAACCCTGGGGGTCGAGTTTCGGGCCCAGCTCTCTGTCTTCCACCTCTCTAGACTGTTTCATGAAGGTCCTGTCTTAAGACTGCCCCTGCACTGGCCCTCTGCGTGGAACTCTGCCAGACCTGCTATGGTTCTGTCCCTTTCTGTTTTCTCTCTCTCTCTGTGTGTGTGTGTGTGTGTGTGTGTGTGTGTGTGTGTTGCTAAGCACTGAAGGCTCACAAATGCTAAACATATAATCAACCTCTAAGTTATATTCCTAGCCCCTCTTTTCAAATTTTGATTTGCTCTTATTTTTAATCTCATAAAGATTTCTTTTCAGTCTGCATAACTCTTCCTTTGGTCTCTCACATACTTACCCTCCTTCCACATCTACTTGTTATTGTATCTCCTCTTGTAAGTGCAAGTGGGGTTGCTGATGCCTGCTTGCACAGCAAGGTGGTCCTTACTGTGTCTTTGTGACTTCCTGCTCACTCTGGTCAGATCCTCTCCGGAGTTCCCCTGTAACACATGCTTTACTTTGCTGAAGAGCATCCTCCCGCAGTTGTAGGCATGCTACGTGTCTAAATGGCTTGATGCCCTGGAAGCTGGCATGAGCCACAGCTTGCTGAAGCATCTCATTCAGCATCACATATTACATGAACAACAGTGGACTGTGTCTGTATCTGTCACCCCATCCCAAGTACTTGTCACATTCTACAGAGATAAACAGAGTGCGCTTCAACAAATGCCTATTGAAAGGAAGACAGCAAGCAGCCATTCCGATAGCTAAGGAGTCAGATTCCAGGCCAAGGGAACAGCAGCAGCAACTCCCCCCTGGGCATGTCCCCAGCATGCTGAGGAAGAGGAAAGGCAGAGCGGCTAAAGGGGCAGGCTAACTCCTGCCAGCGGAGCACTCCGGGTCCTGACACGCCCTGAGCATCTGCCCTGAGTGCCATGGGAAGGCCTGGAAGACCTTGAGCATGAGAAGGAAGTAATCTCATTGAAGTTCAAGCAGACTCACTCAGGGACACTCGGAAAATAGGCTGTGAAGGGTAGAGAGAGACCACAAGAGACACTCGGTCAAAAATTATGGCAGCATGAACCAGGGTGGGGACAGTGGAAACATCGGAGACACAGCCAGCTTCTCTATCTGCAGTCCTGCATCTGCAAAGCCACACACTGTGGGCTCAGAAGATCGGCGGCGAGGGGGGAGATGTCTGCACTGGGCACGTACAGGCTTTATTATCTAATTTTTTCATTTTTATTCATTATTAATATTAAAATATTCAATATTTTCATTATTTATTTGATATAGGGTCTGCTATGCAGTCCAGATTTGTGGTGATCCTCCTATCTCAGCCTCCCCAGTGCTGGGATCACAGGCATGACCACCACACCCAGTTTCAGGGCGGGCATGACCTGCAATACCAGGGATTGAACACAGGGCCTTGCGCTTGCCAGGCAGGTGCTTAGACCACCGAGCTCTCTTCCCAGCCCCTCTAATATAATTTTTGCATAGCATTTACATTGTGTTAGATATCAGAATTTCCAGTTGACCTGCAGCATATGGGAGGATGCATAGAACGTGTGTGCAAGTCCTGTGCCATGTTAGCACCACAGCATCTGTGGTTTTGGTATCTGAGGTCCTGGAGCCAGCACCCTGAGGACAGACATTAGGGGCTGACTCTAACTGGAATCTAGATGCATTTTGAAGGTTAGAGATAATGGAGTTTGTCGGTAGACTGGATATAGCATATAGTACAGAAAGAGAGGGGCCAGGGGTTCCCTGAAGGTTTCAGAGTGAACTTTTAGAAGGGTAGAGTATCATTTACTGGGATGAGGAGAATCACAGGAGAAACAGCTTGGGGCAGGAGGACAGTAAGTGTATGCTGAGTTTGAAACGGAGCTTTTAAAAAGCCTTCTCAACTTCTTAATAAAAGAAAGGACCTTCTAGGGATACCTCGATTTTATCTCGAACGTTCTTTTGAATCCACTGTCTGTGGACCTGTCGATGCACAACTGTGGATGGGGAGGACTCCGGTGATTATCTTTGTGCACTTCAAATTTCTCCTAAGTGATTAGGCTGAACCATTAAAATTCCTCCTAATTCTGATTCTATTTTCTGTTTAGTGTCTTCCAGGAGAGAGCTGATCAAAAGACCTTTTCAGATTGCTATGCAACTGTATTATGTGAAGTAAAATACTCCGGGATAATAATATGTGATGTTTAATATGCAATCCATGATTTATTATAAACTTTGATGCTAGAATTTCTGTTCTGAAATATATGGGGAGATGCCAATAAACAGAGGGATATGAATTGCTTGTGGTTCTGTTAAATAGTGGAGAATGTCATTTTCCCCGAGGAATTCAATACACTTTCTAAGTATTGTACTAAAATTACATTTTAGTCTAACTGAAACCTTGTTAGAAGTGCTTGGTACCTAGTAGGCACTCGGTATATATTTGTGAAATAGATTAGAAAATGAGCATGCCGTCCTTCGGAGGTGCCTTCCAGACTATATTCTGCATGTGATAAACCCCTGTCATCTTCTTTGATTACATAGTAATAGCTACAATTCCTTAATAGTCAAGTAAGTGGAGCAGGGAATTTGGAGACAGCAGCCAGCCAGTGTTCATTGTCATTCTCCTCTAAGGCACTGTGCCCAGACACCAGAGTGGCCGGTGGCGCTCTATGTAGCATTCTCACAGGCAGCATGTCCCCCTCTGTGCAATGCTGAGGTGCTGAGACACTGATGTGTTCGACTCTGAGCCTGGCACCCCATCAGAGCTGTGATCTCCTCGGCTCCAGCGTGAGCAGAGTTCCTCTGTGGTGTGCTGCTGGCTTCCCCAGAATGGAGTTGATGAGCCATCGGGGCTTTCCTGAAACCATTGTCAGTTACAGACCAATTTGTGAACTCCCTGGTGGAAGCAGTTGGACGCCTTGCCTACAGCCTCCACTGTAACTGAACGCGACCCCTGTGCACTGCAGGCTTGCAGAGCCAGGTGCCAAGTCAGAGTGGTACAGGGTGCCCCACCCTCAAAGTGCTTGTTTCAAAGTTTTTGCATCCTCTCCCTACAATTGTCAACTCCATAAGTTTAAAAAGGTAAAAGACTAGGGCAGCAAGATAGCTCGGCAGACTAAAGCACCTGCTTAGGCTGGCACAGCAACTGGGGTTCCATCCCCAGTGTGCCGAGCTGGCCCCGCCCCCAGGTGCACTAAGACTGAGACCGGGCGTGGTAGTGCAAGCCTGTAATCCCAGCACTTGGGAGTCTGAAAACAGGAGGATTACTATGAGTCTGATCTGTGTAGTGGCACCCTGTAGGCCCTGTACCAAAATACATAAATAAACAAATAGGAGGCAAAAGACTTATATGATCTGAAGAGAAGCCACAATATAAGTTCATAATTTACTTATACAGAAAACATGGAAGAACAAACCAATGGACATCATATACCCTGGAGAGATTCACCTTTTACTAACATTTCGTTCTATTCTCATTGCTCTTGGTCTCAATCTTGTTGTCACATTTTCATAGGAGCCCTCTGTGTTGGTGGCTCCTTAAATCACTGTAAAAGAACAAATGGTGTGTCTCCTGCCTAAGGTGTCCCGTGTGCTTGTGGGCCTGTCCCAAGTTGGGGTGGCACTGGGAGAAGAATGAAATCAACACCATCGCACCTTCCCTCCCTGCCACCACCCCAAGAAAAGGACTTCTCTTTGCAGAACATATCAGTCTTAATTTGCTTTTTGACTTTTGAATTGTGGCCAAGAAAATGAAATGAAATCAGCCTGAGAATTAAAACTGTGGATGCCGTGATGTGGAGCCTAATTAGCAGAACATAAACTATTGTTCGAAAATTTTAAGTTCAGTTGGCTAGCATACCACGCACAGTTGCACGCTTTCCTGACAGGTCAGGCATCAGAAGTTCTGTGGCTGTTTACATCCTGTTCTTGGGCTCCTGTTTCATGCGCTTATCTAGCTATGAATTCGATGCCATTTACAGACACTGTCCCTCTTGAGAGCTACAAAACACACCGTGTATTATTGGGTTCAAAGCTGCTGCAGTGTCTCAGAGGGAGGCATTGTGCAGACCTTGTCAAAGCAATACTGTTTACTCACCATTTGTAGCGGGAGCACAACGACACAGTGTGGTGGGACCACAGGGCCGGCATTGTGTTCGGTTAGGTAAGGCCAGTGATGTAAACGTGGGGCATGTGCAAAGCTGGTGGAAAAACAAGATTTGTGAACCTCGTCCTGTTTGAAAGCTCAGCTTTTAACTACCATTTTCCCTTTGCAGATTTCAAAGAATTTTTGATCATGATGCGAAGCAAGAGATCATTTTCGAAAGTATTGCCAAGCCAGTCGCTGAGAGGTAGGGTTTCCTGAATTCTGTGCTTTTGCCTCCTGTCTTCTGTACTCAGTTACCAGTGCTAGACTCAGGCTCTCGGGCCTGTAAAAACAACAGCATTAATATCTTCGAGTTACATACGTGATGCTTTGGACTTAGATTCTGAGCCCCAGAACCAACCAGTGATACTCAACAGCTCTTATGACTCCCATCAGGGCCTGCCCATTAGCTCAGTTGTTTAAGTGCCTACTTAAGCAAAGTAGTCTGGCTCAGGATGCTGTGTTTTGATCCCCAGATCCTCATGCCTTACCAGACCTGCCCTTAAGGCATCTGGAGCCAGCACAAAAAAAAAAAAAAAATTCCTTCTTATGGTTCCCACTTTAAAAGATACAAAACCGAGAGTTGCAGACAGCAAGAGACACTGAGGGGGGGGGGGTGGCTCCTGGTGGCACAGCCCTGGAGGATTCTCCAGTTGGTACCTCAGTGCTCTTTCTTCAGCCCAACATTTAAACAGTTCGATGGGCAAAGCATAGGGCCCCACGGTGGCTGGCTTTGCCGCACCTCAGTATCATTTCAAGGTTTGGTCCTTGCTTTCTAAGTCCACTTTGTCAGTATTTCCAGGCAGCTCCCAGCTTCTGACTACTGGGATCAAAATTACGAATATACCTTGACCAGATCTCCCTGGGACCGGACAGCCACGTCCTCTGATAAGCATACCATCCTGTTGTAGGAAACCTGTACTGCAAACTCTGATGCTGACATCATGGGCATGATTTTAATGACCTCAGGGCCTCCAGACAGAGCTGCTGTGCATTTAAGATGAAAATATTAAAATGAAAATGAGCCCGATTTTCCAGTGTACCGATCAGTCTACTTTCTTCTGTGGACGTTGCTAGCTGCAGGTCACTGCGCTTTGTCCCTCAAGTGCCTGTATTTCGAATCCTGCTCCATCTGGGCCCCTCATGTGTCATACACTCCTCCTGTTTGGGTAGGATGAGGTCAGGCAGCGCTTGCCATTTCCTGTGTAATCTCCATCCCGTGACTGCTCTTTAGATTACATTCAGGACTCCTTGATCAGAGGGCAAGCGTTTCTAAGATTCCTTTCCTTTGAGTGAGCCTCTGGACCAGGGCATTCCTCTGATAGCTGGCCTCGTGTTTTGTGCCAAGTGATTTGAGGACTGAACCTGAGTTTTGATTTCGCGGATGCCGGGGTTTTCCTCCTGCTCCTGCTCCTGTCTCATCTCTATCCCACCTCCTCCAGCACTGTCCCTTTCCTCTGCTTTCCTTTATAGTACGTTTATTTGCAGTAGTTGAACAGCCGCTTCCTCTCTTGATCCTGTTTGTATCAGGTGTTGTCTCTCAGCTCTAATTTCTGTAGAGTCATTTGAGTGGCAATGGAAATGTCTCAGTCCTCAAAGTCTTGGAGGTGTCAGATCTTTCATATATATATTGGACTTGTAGTGATCTTTTCAGCCTCCCCAGTACTGGGATTACAAGCATGCACCACCACAGCTGGTCTTGGCTCAGCATGCCCAGGAGTGGAGCCAATGCAGCATGTGGTGCTGGAGATTGAACCCAGTTCCTGAGCTTGCCTAGGCGGGTGCTTAGTCTGCTGAGCCGTCTCGCCAGCCTGAGGTGTCTGATCTTAACACAGTTCATTCTTCCACCTTGCACGCATGCTGTCCTGGTTGCCCACGTGGAATCCACTTTGCTTCCATCGTGTGCAGCCCTCATTCACCCTCGCTGCTCCCTCTGCCCTGCTGGCCTCCCCTAGAAGTCTACACAGCAGCAGCCATTGCAGCCCGACATCTGTGCTCGGATCCCGCCGTCTCACTAGGGCCTTCTTTGACTGCTTGTCTGAGTCACTCTCTTATCTCTGGGACATACACTACCTGACACTCACCCCTTAAACATCCTTTAAAGGCAGAGGGGTTCGTATATTATAGAGGTTTCAGTCTATAGATGGGGGATCCAGGGCAGGACAGCATGGCACAGGGGCCTGGCGTAGGAGAGCTGCTCTTGGTGCAGTGGGAGCAGAGAAAGCTCAAGGGAAGGGGGACAAGCCCTTCTAGACTACCTACCCATTATCCACCTCTGCAGACCAGCCCCCACCTCCCAACAGCAAGTTAGCTGTAGCTCCCCCAATCCAGCTGCCTTCCACAAGCTCCTCCTGTGAGCAGGAGGCTCTTTGAGGACACACAGATATAAACTAGCACTACCCTATTTAAAGTCCCTCTTCCCACCCCCATTTCCGTGCCTTTTTCACTTCTTTCTGCACTTGTTGCCATCTGAATTACTATGCAGTTTGATTACTTATTAGTATTTGACTAGTCTCTGAAAGAGTTAGCAAGTAAATTAACTTATTGAGTTAACAGCCTGGGGAGGAAATCACTTTTTTCATAGACTTTAAATATATTATGTACATATTCACACATGTTTGCATTTCAGGCAAACTTAAATTGTGAAACTCTGAAAGAACAAAACGTAAAATATTATTAAAGTCTCATTTATATATAATATTTGAAGTAGTATTTACCTCTATAAATTGAAAGTCAGATTCTAAAGAATTACGTAATTTCTGGCCCATGAGTAGCAGCTGTACCATGTTAGGTCTTAAAGAGAAATGTCTGCTGTTCCCTGGGAAGACTAGTTTTCAGGAACGCGTTACCAACATAAAATACAGCCACCCTGAGCTAGCTATTTGAAGTTGTTATATTGGTTAACATGTCCCAGCTTAATTCTGGTTACCATGTGCAATTAAAGCTAAATTAAACTAATCACATTTCTTTCTGAAATCCTATAATTGAGGAATCTCAGTGATTTAGACTTACCTTTTCCGGTCCCGTTCAAGCTGATGGTGTTATGCCAATACTGTAGGATGCCGTGGATGGAGAGGAACTGTAAAGCTTTAGCCTTGTATCATTGGAAATTAAGCAAAATAATAGTTGTGGCTATTTATTATTCAGTACATCTCCAGTAAGAAATAATTTGTCATCTTGCCCCTTCTGAACTTTAGTTTTTCTGGCATGTATCCTATGTTTATTGATAGTATGTAAAACTGCCTTTTATCATATGAATTTAACTCATTGGTTTTTAGATGATTTTTTAAGTGTATTTGGTTATTACAGGGTCTCACTAGGCAGCTTGGGCTCATAGTGATCCTTCTGTTTTCAGCCTCCCTAGCATTAGGATTGCAGGCATACACCACTATGCCCAGACTCTGTGGTCAGCTCAGCCTGCATGCTGGCTCAACGCGGAATGTGGTTACAGGGATTGAACCACAGTCCCTGCACTTGCCTAAGCTTGCCTAAGCAGGTGCTTTAGTCCATGGCTATCTTGCTGGCCCTGGATGAATTTTTTATAAAGCAAAAATTTAACAAGTCCACAAGTGTTTATAGTATTAAAGTATATAAAAGAGTTTGTTATTTTATTTTATATTTTGCTTGGTATTATGCTTCTCAAACTAGAGTTTATTGATCTTGGGGATGTGTGGTAGTCTGTCCCAAAATACTTATAAGTTAATTACCTTGGGACATCATCCTGGAGTGTTAGTTTCACTTAGAGATTTAGGGAGAAAAACTTTAAACTGTACATTTTTATGAATTCTTATATGCATTTGCAGATCTGTAGAATTCCAGTTTTTAATAGATTTAATAGTATATATTACCTAGAAATTTGAGATATAGGAAATTCACCTTATTTACAATGAGCAATTTTGGGGAGATTTTGAGTTTTGGGTCTCTGGAGGAACATGTTGGTTTTCCCAAAATGATTAGGGTCCGTACTGCCAGGAAGACTTCTCATGCTTTGCTGTAGACTCCCTCGCTGGTGCTACCAGGTAAAGAAAAACATCTGCGTCACAACCAGCCATGCAGGTTGGTTTTTAAGAAGCTCTTAGTTACCTATGAACCGTCACTTTTTAACCATTGGTTTCACCAGATGAGCAAAATCAAGTCAGCCTTTCAGTGTATACCAAGAGGTGACTGAAGGGGAAGAGAAGTCTCTAAGGCTTATGGTCTCAGCATGGGAGAGTCCTGGCCATCGGTGCTCTGGCTGGGCAGGAGGCCAGGCTCCCACAGGGATCCTCTCATGGAGCAGCAGGGACAGGGCTCAGCAGGGCGGTCACTTAGCACTCTTTATGGCTCCCAGCTTTGCTGGTGGTACCTTGAGACCCTGTGCTACTATGACTAGAAAGCCACAACTGGGGAGGAGGGTCATCAAAGGAGAATGAACCAGAAAAGTCCCCTTATCAGTGGTTCCCCTTGTGTACTTGTGCTTAACATCCTCTGGTTCAACATTCTGGGCTTCAGGTAGAGTAACAATCTGTGCCTCAGCTGTGTGACTCACTGCTGCAGTTCTCCTCTCTGAGCTCAGGAAATGTGGTAATCGCCGCTTGCATGCATATGAATGTATTTTGTGAATGTCAATTATCCTTTTCAATTGAAGGTATGAAAAAAATTATGCTTACTCTTTTTTCACTTTAAAAATGCACCCCATGACTTAGTTCTGTTCCAGACCAAGATAGAATCAACATATTGATTCTCTCTCTCCATTCCTTTCTCTCTCCATTCCTTTCACTGAGTATGGTTAAAAAATCCAGATATTATAAAAAAAAGAAAAATAAGAGGTGAGGAGAAGAGGGCAGACCAGCTAGACATTGAGCCTAAGGGACAAGATGGTGGTGAATTCTCCGAGCTGTTTTTCACTCACGTATCCCAGACTGGATACTAAAGAAACTGGCACCTCAGAAGCACCATGGGATGTAGACAAAAATGTCAAGAAGAGGTTTCTCAAAAGAAGAGGAAGAGGAAGAGGAAGAGGAGGAGGAGGAGGAGGAGGAGGAGGAAGAGGAAGAGGAAGAGGAAGAGGAAGAGGAAGAGGAAGAAGAAGAAGAAGAAGAAGAAGAAGAAGAAGAAGAAGAAGAAGAAGAAGAAGAAGAAGTAGAAGTAGAAGTAGTTGTTCTTGGCAAGCAGCAGGAAAGGGGCAGTTCAGTAAGAGAGAAGACTTAGACACAGCTGCCCTCT